CAAAACATATGATGGTTGTCACTAAAACATTCCTTTCTGTTTCAGGTATGTTTTTCACGATCTTTTTTTATAGTGAATTCATTTAACCTAATTAAAATGGTGTGAAATTACAAGCTGTCCTGTAAGCTTACAGATACAAAAAAATGCTATAAGGCTGCTGATATGAAGCTTGCAGTGGACAAGGTTGTTGTAAATGCTCAATGGCATGTTCATGGATACGGTTATATCGCATCAATAATACGGTAATATCGCATCAATAATACGGTAATCAATGTATATGGTAATATATCAATAAAGGAAAAACGAGTAAAAATCACAGAAAATGTCATTTACTCTACCTCTACATCATCTACAATGAGAGAGGAGGACTTCAGAGTACTGTTAGTAATGGATGAGTACACTCTGCATGCTTTTTATCTTTTTTTTACACTTTTTTTGCTTCTGGCATCTTACGAATAGCATATGGAATTTTTTTGAAGATGCCATTCGATAGCCCTCGCAAAGAGCTATAAAATGAGCCTAAACTTGTTTCTGAAATGTTTCATGGTAAGAAGTTATTAACAAAAAACGCTCAAAACCGTCCCAAGTAGCCCCAGTTGACGGTACTTTCACTTAGAAGCTGACTTATAATAAATACAGGTACACGTTGATTTTTAAATCAATGATAAAACAATTCCTAGATGGTCATGGCCATTGTTTTGTATATCAAGAGAAATCATTGGCCTGTTTGTTAAAAGCTCATCATACAAGAGTGATGTGACAGCATCATTCACCTTCAGTATGGTGCCACTATCATGATTTTTCACTAATAACTCATGTCAGGATTATCAAATAGAAAATAAAGGTTTTAAAGCCACATTGTACACTACTGCTGTTGCATTGGAGATTCAACAAGACAGGATGACTTAGCAGGCATATAAATTCAGTAAGCTGCAGTATTTGTTAAATCTTGACAAGTTGACAGTTAAAATAATAAACAAGAGTTTGAAATGAATAAGCTCTCAGTATGACTGATTCAAATACTTTAGTTTTTATTGAGAAACTGAACCACCAACATAACATTAATATTTGGAGTAACTTTGATATCTTACAGCTACAGAGTTCAGAGTTCAGACTACAAAATATCTACTCCCTGGAGCCACAAATAGATTTTGTAGCTATGAGTTGTTTGAATTTTAAAAATTAATTCAAATTTACCAAGCTGTGACTTCACTTTTCAGCTTCAATTTTTTTTATTCCAACACCTTCTTTCAGTTTCAAATATATTTTCTGAGCAAATATAAAAAATAAATGTGATTTATGAACTTTTTTGCAAAACCATGGATATTATGTCATAATAGTTTATTTAGCCATAAAACGCAAACAAATAAAGTAAACAGTAGGTATTTAAACACGTATGACAAGTATTCTTTCTAAAGATTGGAGGAGAAATTAAAGATTGATGCTAACAATTTTAAAAGCTTGATGCTATCTTTCTAATGCTTACATCAACACCAAAGTGAAAAAATAGCAGGAGACACCAATGACTGGTGTTGGTTGGGATTAATAGCGAATTTCATCCATTCCTTTAGCTGTTGACTAATTTTCTGGGTAAAGTCAAGTTTTTTTTCTGGGGTAGCGGCTCCATTCGCGATGCTTGGTCTTCCTCTTGGAGTTGAACTTGGAGTCATCAATGATCAAACCAATGGTTACATTTTCCTTGAAGTTTGACAGACACATCAATTTCGTTTCAGTACTTGGTAATTCATTTTATATAAAAACCAGGAATTCACCACACTCATGTCTTGGAAATAAAAAAATTCTCATGTACAATTTTTTAGATTTGAAGTCTAAACAGGAAAGTCCAATCAACATGTCATATAAATCAACACCTCCCATAAATTTTGTATATTCTTTTACAACAAATGGTCTGTTTATTTCAATGTGCTTGACGGTGTCTGCTGGAGTGATGCCGGAATAAGTTGATCAAAGGTGATCACNGATGTTTATGTTTTTTCTGCAAGATATTTTTGGCGGAAACGGTAAAGCAATGCGGATTGCGGAAGTTGAAAATTTTATGAAATGACATGTTTGCGAAGTGCAAACCGCGATTTTTTAATCGAACAAAAATTTATGACATTCGAGCCGCGAGATTTCATACCTACTGAAATTATATGATATTAGAGCCGCGATATTTCAGACAAAAATAGGACTTTTCCAGACTAAATTAGAGCCGCGATATTTCAGACAAAAATAGGACTTTTCCAGACTAGAATGAACGCATGGAAGTGATGGAACTAAAACAAAGCTTGATATAAAGGAAAAACTAGAGAAGTGACGGAATTACCTACGATGTCGGAATATACCGCGTTTACGGTTTACCCAAGTTGTTCTTCGAAGTTCAAACTGCAAGTCCAGCGCCAGCCAAATGCCAATACAGCGTTCTTAGAAAAATATTCTGCAAAACTTGGGTTTTTGTAAGAATTTTGTTATAAACTATGCTTGCTATGCATCGGCATTTAGATGACTGCAGAGTGCCGGCGGGCGGCAAGGCGGGCGAGCGGCAACACATCTCAAAGATTGCCAGTCGCCAGACCAATGAGACCATCACCAATGTTTTTGGTCTACAAATGCACAAATTGACAATGCAATAAAATGGTGTCATTTGTCAAAGCAGAGACTTTTTTCGACTCTTCTTCAGTTCATTTTTGAGTCCTATTAGTAGACTAGTAAAGTATCATGGAAGGGTACCCCTACACCCGTACCGGCGGTAACACTACAGCGTTCTGCTTCTGCATCATCATGCAACATGCATGATAAATTTATTAAAATATTGAGTAAATAAGGAAATCAATTAATTATAAAAATCTTTGGTTTGCCAATATGCTTACTTGGTTAGCGTGTGGATTGGCACTGCAGCGGTGGATTCTTGTACCTACTACCTACTGCAGCCCAACATTTTACGATAGTTCGAGTTTTATAATTTATACACCCGCGCGATTTTCACAAATGGCAATTTTGGACGCCGTTGTCCGAAACTATGGAAATACAAAACTGTTGCCATCGACGCTTTCAAAAATAAAACCCCATCTCTATCACCCGTTACTAGTCATTCATTTAATTAAGAATCAACATTGGCAGAATTGAAATCTTTATAGTAATATATATTTCTCCTTTGATCTCCCCCAAATTCCTTGCTGATATTTGGAGGCTATGGGAGATCAGAAAGCAGGTTACCAAATCATGGCAAATGACATCTTACTGCAATACGTGTCTCTTATACACATCTAGATGTGTATAAGAGACAGGTCATATATAATCCCATAATCCCACATATTATACAATAAAAAAAATTAACAATATCAAAACTTGAATCTTAACATGAAGGGTAAACGCGATATATTCCGACACATTAAGGACGCATCGAGAAATGAAAAACAATATAAAAAACTGTATGCGTTACTCAAGTTCTGTTTGCTTTACGTGACTCTCAAAACACTGCACGACGCACCAGCAACAATGAAACGTCACAAAATGTTGCCATATATATTTAAAAGCCTTTAGAATGCAAACCTACCAAATCCCTATATACCGACACTGTGTGTGACTATATTCGGCACATGGTAAGATGTATTCCGACCGCGCTTCAAATTGTACTAATACGTAATTCCGAAATCCACGTGTTTGTTTTCTGATCGCTGTGTGAGCTGTATTGGAATACGACACAGCTTTGAATTAGAACACTATTGAATATTGAGTACCACTTAATTAGGCTTTTAATTNTTGAGCGGGAGCGCAGCCCTACACCACAAATTTAGCTCGTAAACAAGCCCTGGCGCCAACGCCTACCCTATAATGCAATAACTAAACTCAGCTCACACCCAAGAAGCTGTAGGTAACTGAGTCATCTCTCCACACTACCTTTAAGTAACACCTACCTCACTCCACAGCGTGTGTAAGAAGTGCGTGTGTAAGACTTCTTCTTCACGCCGTTCTTGTAAGACTTCACACGGCGTGTGTAAGAAGTGATAGTATGGGGTAAAATTTTGTGGAGTAGGACCTGTTGACAATTAACTATTTGATTCAGCAGGCTGTGGAGTGAGGTAGATGTTGCTTAAAGTTGATGTGGGGAGATGACTCAATTACGTACAGCTTCTTGGGAGTGAGCTGAGTTTAGTTATTGCATTATAGGGTAGGCGTTGGCGCTAGGGCTTGTTTACGAGCTAAATTTGTGGTGTAGGGCTGCGCTCCCCCGCATGACGATGCTGGTGCAGGCGTTCAACGTCGTGCGTGGAGTTTTGAGCCTCCCATTGTCCCGCATATGGTTCTTTGGTCCTACCAAACCGACACTTTATGACATTAGTTTCATGCAGTGGTCCCTGATTTTTACATGGGTTATTTTTCATGATTAAATTCTTGATTTTCTTAGTTATGTAGAAAATTAGGAGTTTTATTTGGTTAGTTACTGATGTTATTTTGCACAATTGAATTGAGGACTCTTTCATCTGTCCTATGAGCGCCGTTCATCTTGTTTTGATAGTTAATTCTGGTGATGCAGTCTTTTGATATGGATTCATATGTTCGGTTTTAACGTGCTCGAAATTGCGAAATTTCTGTGTCGATAGTTTTGTTAGCATGAGCGTCTTTTGCAAGAATTTGCTTGCAGGTCGGAAGTTCAGTTTTCAAGCCATGAACCGATGTACAGGTTTTTTAACGCTTGATGTTTGAGGGCGCTAATGTTGCTGATTTAGGAGCACTGGGGACTTACGTTTTCTTCGTTCAGGACCTTTCCGACGACAGTTGGTTTCCGATAAACTTTAGTGACTAATGAATCCAGGAAAGGCAACGTTGATTTGTCCGAATTCGTAAGTGTACGTAAAAACAGAATTGAGTTCTACAGCCACGCACAGCTCCATCACGTAATCTTCGTCACGTACGATGACGAAGATGTCGTCGATATATCAACATTAATGGTCGGGTTTAATCTGTGCATCGAACAACATTCGGTTTTCGTGTTCGCACATGTAGAATTCGGCGAATGTTGGACCAAGAGGACTGCTCACGGCTACACCGTTAATTTGCCGATATATTTTGTTATTTGGGTTCGGCAAGGCGACCCTGAAGTACAGAGGCAGAGGAGATCAAGTAAAATATTTTTACGAATTGATGAGGCCGGCAAAGTTTCATTAGAGTAAAAATGTTGGGCTATTATTTTTAAAGTTTGTTCAGTAGGGACGTTGGTGACTAAGCTATTGACGTCAAGTAAAGCGAGCAGACCAGATGGGCGGCGATTGCGAAGGATCTAAAAGAAATCGCCACTGACTTCGACGCGATAAACAACAACAACAACAACGACGGTCTTGAGAGCTTGTCACAGGTGGTTCATCTGTCCTCCAGACAGACGGTGGCAGGTGAGTCAGTCTAGATGACGCAGTTGTTAGTCCAATTACTCTAATGGAGTCTAAATGATGAAGTTTGAAACCTTATTTGGAGCAAAATTTACATACTCCATCGGTTTCTTGGAGAACTTTCGATTTTTTTTAGTGTCCATAGTAGAGTATAGCGCGAAGCTTGACGTTATTGGCACGAGTATCACCAAGCCAGTTGAATTCATCGATGATTTGAAATGAATTTGCTTGTATGTAATACGCAATGTCACATTCCTCAAAACCACAACAATGTACCGGTACCTACAAAAAAGCGGGGCTATAAATGTAGGTTATGAATTTTGCTTCAAAGAAGGTAAGACTTCTTCATCATTTGGACTACATTGGAGTAACAACCACGACATTGAGACCGTTTTACCTGCCATCTTCAGTCTGAAGGAATGAGGAACTTCCTGAGACAAGCCCATATCATCGCTCGCATCGTGCTGGAGGAACCAACCAGCATCGTCATCATGCAGTGCTGGAGGAACCACCAGCATCGTCATCATGCAGTGCTGGACGAACCCACCAGCATCGTCATCATGCAGTGCTGTACATAATAACTTAACCCCACAACTGAGACCTACAGTCAGACACCGCGAGCTCAGCGGTGGGGCGCTCAGGAACAATCCCCCTAGGAGCGCGAAATACCATAGGACTTCTGACGAGCACAGACACGCGTCAGAAGTCCCCCCTGAGGGGCTAGATTAATTAACGACACGTTAAGCTGGTTGCCATGAATAAATATAAAATCTATTTGAATCATATAAAATTATTAGGTATATTTTTGCAACTCTAAGTCAATAAACTTATTATAGTCCCACTAACAACCAGAATTTCTTGATTTGAAGTGAAAATCACACCAAATAATCCTGCTCAAATAACACGTCTGGCCCCGCGGGCCTGACGTGTTCTGCTATCAAAATAGCAGAGCTATATTTCCAAATGTCACAAAACACGAACATTGAGTTTGAAATAGTATATTGTGAAGTAAATCAAATTGTAAATCAACTAAAAAAACATCTGCCCCAGAAGTACCAATTGATCTAATTTGTAAACTTGCATTTAGAGCGTTGGCATTTGTAATGGGTATTGCTTCATTCATTTGAACGGAATGTTACATCATTAAATCATTGTTAATCTTTTTTATCGTGTGGTTGACGTGTGGAATTTTAGTTTCTGATTGAGGTAGAGCTTTGTGAAGCGCCTTTGCATTTCTGCCACAGCGTATGAAATTTTGATTCCTGATGAATGAAGGGGGTTTACAACTTCGAAAAAAAACTGGTATGTATTGAAGTGATCCTGGATAAGATGCTAATGTGACCTCGTATTGTGATGCCCTGCACAATTCCAGCCATTCAGATTCGTTGTAAGTTGGGTATAAACTGCTCCCGCCGAGACCTCGTATAGTGATGCCTTGCACCATTCCTGACATTCAGATTCATCGTAATGTGAATATAAACTGCTCACGCCGAGACCTCGTATAGTGATGCCTTGCACCATTCCTGACATTCAGATTCATCGTAATGTGAATATAAACTGCTCACGCCGAGACCTCGTATAGTGATGCCTTGCACCATTCCTGACATTCAGATTCATCGTAATGTGAATATAAACTGCTCACGCCGAGACCTCCTGTTGTGATACCTTGCACCATTCCTGTCATTCATATTTATTGTAGCTTGATGGCAAACATTCGAGACAGTGAGCTATACAATATTTTATACTGTTAATTATACATATTGTGCTGTTAATTATAGATGTTAATAACAGATTGAAAGTTGAATTACAATCAATCCATGATATTTAAATCATGATGTAGTTGTACGTAACAATTATTCGAATGCTACGTTAAAAAACCGAATTTGAACATTTAGTACGTAAGGCCATCTTCGTTCGTCGTACTTCAGATCGATGATCTGAATGATGGTAGACTTCTTTGGACTTCTAAGTAACCAATGCAGCGCAGTTTCTCAGATTGTTTACAATCACAGCATATTAACCTTGATCAATGCCTTAACTTTATGCAGGAGTTTTCCGAGAATAGGAATAATGAGACACTGCAAGAGATTCTTTTCAACACACAACAAGCACAGCTCGTGGAGTTGTTTATTTTGCAAAAAATGCAACACACAAATTCAAGTTCAAAAATATTAACGCGTTTCCAGGACCTTACTTTCAGGTAGGTGCGTGCAAGAGGCCCGCCAGCCACTTACAGCATGTTTTTTTTACAGCAGATGGTTTTAAACTCGAGAAATAGAACGCGATTACGCCAGTCAAGTGCGGAACATGGCAGGTTTATACTTGGCTTATATGCCCTAAGGATGAGTGCAACTTTTGCATACTAGGGCTGAGTTTTGCCACCAGGGGCAACTGAAGACTTCGACTGATGGCTTACGGCAATGCCTTCATTTTTGGAGCTATCAAAAATTACACTCAATGAAAGTTATACAGAAATTTGCACAGCTAATGAGAATTTAATTTTCTGACACGTTACACTTAAGTAATTATACTCTTAGTATTAT